AATATTGATTTAAAATTATTTTCTTTTAGGATTTTAGCAGTTAAGTGTCTTTAAAAAGGATTTTAAAATTATTTTGGTGCTTACATATGATTTTTAATTGTTCCCATGTTTTCCAAATACCTTATTAAAATTTTAATGTAATTAATCTGTCCCATTAAAGCTGACTATAAAAGGAATTTCTTTAAAGCAAAATCTTGCTTTGCCATTGATTTACACTTTAATAGTTGAGAAAGGTTTCTACCTGACACTCCTCAGATAGTCAAAGTCAGGTCAAAGTAGTAAGATTCTGACCAGCCTTTTGGATGGTGAATGATGAAGTATGCCTGCATACTGGGACTTGTTAGGAGTTTCTGACCTCACCAAGTGTTTCTTTTCCATTGCCGAGAACACTGTTCTGACCTACTTATTATGGAGCTTTGGCTTGTGCCTAAGGGACCACCCTCAGTAAGGTACCCAACTTTATTACTCAATCCTCCTTTTTCATTTTATTAGAGTATTCATAATATTTATATATTCCAGCCTAAATATTTTAAAAGTTGAGATTTCCACTTATATGAAATAGGTTTTTTAAAAACTGTGTTTTGTATACTTTGGCCTCTAAAAAGAGATGTGAAATATTTAGGTGAATAATTCTCTGCTGCGGTATTTGTACAGTACAAACTACCTCTTGGGAAAAGCTTAACCCAATATTGGAATTACAAAATTACTTCTCATTCTCAATTTAGATGATTAATACCACATTTTTCTCACATGTTTTATGATAGCACTGAATTTTCATAGAAAAATTAACTAATGCAAGCAAAGTTTGCAATCTTTAATACAGGCTTAACTTTGGAATTCATAAAGGAATGACTTAAGGTCTAATTTTTTGATGTGATACATAGGGATATTTTATGCATCCTGTCTTTTTATGTCCTGAGTTAGTAATTCAAGTACCAGAAAGTAAATAAATTTTGCATATAAATATGCAGCTTATCTGCTTCAAAATTTAAAACTTTGAATCTTGAACTTGAGTTCAAGATGCATATTTTTGTTGAAAATTATTTAAACCTGAGCCAGAGGACTTTTAAAATTTCATCATGCCCTTTAACCTAGTAATTATACTTTGGGGCTCTGTTCTGTTTGGAGCTCTGTTGCAAGCCTTCTGGAAGCCAAAGTGTGTCACCCTTTGTCAGCACTATCCTAACTAGATCACCATGTGTTCACTACATTATGGTATGATGCCAATATCCAAGTATTTCCTTATTGTAGTTTTTCCCTACTTTTGAAATATTTTTTAGTGATAAAATCACCTTGCATTGTCTTAACCGAAGGAAACAAACTGCTTTGTATTTTTTGGTTTTCTTGTGTTTTTTTGTTTTAAGAGAGAAGAGCACACACAAGACTCATTTAGAGTCTCAATCCTGAACATTTGGACTCTAAATAAATGACAAATATAAATTTCTTTGTCCTTTTACAATCATGTACCCCCAAAAAGCCTCAGTTCCTCATTATTTAAGCTTCTTTTTCCTCATAGGAAAACTATATCAGTCTTTAAATATCACTCTGTTACATTTGCTTTTGCTCCAGATGGAGCTAAATTACTGTATGAGATTGGATTTCTTTTGTATTTTCATATTAAAAAGTGAATGAGTGATGCAAATTGAGCAGTTGACTCAAGTCTATAAAACTGTCAACAGAGTTGAATATAAGATTATAATCAGTGAAACATTTAAAATAGTTTTATCTTAGCAACTCCTAATTGTATTGGATGTTTATCAGAAGGAATTAGATTAACAACTCTTCCAAATATCATAACTCATTTATACTATTTTGTGTAATATTTTTAAGGTAAAACTAAGCAGATGTGGGGGAAAGTATACATTGATGAAAGCTACATACTAAAGCAGAATTTCAGCAACAACTGATACTACTGTAATACTTTAGAATCTTTCCTGTTTTCAAGCAGTTACGCAAATCAACTTGGTGATTTCTTGTATTAGACTTACCTTTAATTTCTTTAAAGTAGGATTGATACAAGTTGCCCAACCTCACATCTCCCCACCTATTTATAGTTCCAGGTTGGAATCAGTATATCAAATAAAGTAGGGACACACCAATGTTTTTTATCTGTGTACCAGAATAGGGGTTTCTAGCTGTTAAAACTCGATTAAGTGTCCTTTGCCATAACTATCTCCACTTCAGGTCACTGCTGTCTCTCAAGCCAATTACATCTTAAAACCAACTAGTTTTATTTCGTTAAATTAAAAAATATATATTTACAAAGTAATGTAAGCAGTGAGCATTTTTCCATACCTCTCTGTGGGCACATGGGACAACCATTACTTTTTACTACAGACAGTTGTTCATGTTCCCAGAATATAATTATTAAATTTGCAGTTCTAGAAAAATAACCCTGTGGAAATTCACATGTGATGCCTGTGAACTTTGAAAATTACTGATGTTTGGAAACTTCAGGCTGACCTACTTTGTTATGTGCATTGTAAGATAGCACACTATTTGGGTATTAGTCCCTTCTCAGATCAGTTTATCTACCCTGAGATTCTAAATCAGCTGTTTGAATGAGATGTTAACTGGAGGTGATGGTGTTGGGGGTTAGTATAAAATTAGTTATCTAAGAAATGTTTTTTCTGAGTTGTATGCACATCTGCCTCAACTTTTTCTAGTATTAATTGCTTTAGGTGGTGACTGTTTTTAACTGAAATATTACTGTATCAGGTATGTTGTGGGTAAAGAATATAGGGATTACCAAAACTTCTTTTTAAACATAGATACCTTTTCTTTGTACTTACCGTCCATCCTCTTTTTCCCCAAAACAGAAGGTTCTTCTCATTACATTGTAATTGTATGTATTAGGCATTCAATTAAGTGGTCTTGATATAAAATAATTAGGGATTTTTCTTTCATAACGATACCTATTTTTATTGCTTAATCATCACAGAACTTTGTGTCATTTCTTTAATACCACAGATAAAACATGCTTTAAATGTAACCCTATTAATGGTATCAGAAAACATTTAAGCATTATGTATCTATGTGTTAAAATTTATACTCATCTGGTAGTTTCTTTGGAAAATTCTATCTTTTTTTCTCTGGGGAGGGAGGAGATCTGTAGTAGTTAGCAGTTAAAGATACAACACTAGAAGAGGAAAACATTTTTTTTAATTCAAACTTTCATTTAATCAAAAGTCAAAATGAATACTTGATCAGTGGAATTTATGGAATTGGTGAATAATCAAAAGATAGTAAATTTTTAGAATAATTATGTTTTATCCAGTCTCATTGAATTATAACTTGATTTCATTTTTATCATATCTATAGTTTGTATCTTAATCCGTGTAACTCAGAAGTATCATATAGACATCTCAAACTAAAGATCACCAAGTGCTTTGCTTCAGAGCTGGTTTTTCTGCCCTGGAAAGAAGTTCCCAGACCTTAGATGAGATTGGAAAAGATACTGCCCAGAAGAGCTCCCCCCAGATGCCCTTTATGGTGTTCAGAAAAATCTCAAGTAATACCGGACGAGAAGCTGCCCTCAAGCCTTGTGCACTGCAACTACATGCGCAGCTTTCTGAGTATTACTAATTATTCCAGAAAGTGAGCATACTTATAACTGCCTTCCTTACCAGGTTATGCTTGTGTAATTTTCTAGTAGGTGTGATTATTTTTAGTTACTTAGGTCCCAAATACTATATTTGAATAATATTCCATGTTTTTAACATGAAATGCTGCAATCCAACGTACACTGATCTCTCAAATGCGAGGAAAGTCAGGATAACAGTTATATTATTAATATAGGGATTTGAGAATAAATACAGTTTTTACCCATTAATTCATTGGTATTATACATAAAATATTTTTAAATAAACAACACCTATTCTCTTAACTGACAGTCATTTAGTGAAGTCTATCCTTTTCAGCTGTACATTGTACAGTTAACATTGTGCAAGTGGAATGATCAAGATACTAGCAAGTCCTGGTGATCACAGAAGGGTAATCTTCACCACATTGCAGAAAAAGACTAAATATTTACATTTATATTTAAAATTTTGTTTTCCTCACTGGCAAAGATCAGGGGACTGTTTTTTTTTTTTTTTTTTTTTTAAGATTCTAACCTAGTACCTTCCTCCCATTAGTCACTCTCACCCTGAGGCCTGAGCAAAATAAGCTTAAATAGAAGGGGTTTGGTGACTTCAGTGAACAAAAAGGAAACTCTTGGGAGAAGGTTATCAGGAAAATGGGTGATTCAAAACATTTAGAAATAATAGTTGTCAGTTTCAAATTATGAGAACTAATTTTACTTATAAGCATAAACAGTCCCAATGCAACTATGTACGTTTGAGCCCTCATTCTGTACATAATTATTTATATCTCATTTTTTTTTTTTTTAGATTTCAGAAGTGGGTGTAGTTGAGGGAAGTGCTAAATGTGAACCCACTTTTCCAATTCCCGCAGCCTTCAATCAAGTCTTCATGGTATAACACAAAAAGGAAGCTGAGATTTCAGTAGAGAATTATTTCTTTTACAGTATTTCTGAGGATGAGAAGATCATTCTTCCTCAACTTAATCTTGATTTTAAACCTTTATACTGGGTACCTCAGAATGAATCCAAGGTTAGAACTGCCTTTTAGCATATTTCAGCTTCTATCATGTGTTCTTCCATGTACATGGAGTCAAAATTAGTCCTCTCAAGAGAAAAAAACCTAAATATGGACAGATAAATGTACTTCGGTGTTTTATATTCAAGGGCACAGAATGGAGTGTTAGGAAGCAATCTGGAAATAATTTTTCCTAAGATATGTATGATTATAGGCTAGGATATGCTTTCCTTCTCTCACTGAAATAAAAATATATAGGTAAGAAACATGAAGACATGACAACACATTTGACACGTAATGAGCTTGGGCATATTCTTTGTTACTTCCTAATCTTGAGAACCACAGTTTGCTGTTTTAGAGGTATCCAAAAGGTTCCAGATAAAAGGAGCTTGCCCAGTGTTCTTAGACCTTAAGCGTGCTGGATGCCCTAAAGTAGGAGAGGAATTTATAACAGAAGCTCACAATGAAGAACCAGACATTCCGAGCCATCTGAGATCTTGCAATGAGAAGGCGCCAGGCGATGAGGAGGAGGGCAGTATTAAAGAGGTAGTGAATATTTCGGAGCCTGGGGAACAGACATATAGAATCAAAGTTAAAACAGCACCAAAGACCCAACTGTATTATCTGAAGCCTAAGTGTGTTGTTTCCTGGTTGTGACCAGCAAATTGTTAGGTGCTCACAGGTATGTGGCATGACCTTATGACCTTTTGATTTTTACAGTTCTTATTTCCACAACATGCCTTCTGAATAATCAGATTTCCATAGTATTCCCCTGACTAGTTTCTCTTTCCCATACCTCTCCCTACTTTAACCTATCTTACAAACATGACTAACAATCTTTCTTAAACATACTTTGATCATATTACCATACCACAAATCTTCACTGGTTCTTGCTCAGTAGAAGGTAAGTTCTAAAGTTCTCAGTCTGCTATTCAATGTTCCTCTCTGTTTGCAATTTACTTTTCCAAGCTTATAATCTGTGCATTAAAAACCCTTTGCTTCTAACAGAATTATATCAGACTGTTCTGGTTCTTTGTCCCATATGGAATAATGACTGAAAGAAATTTAAGGCAGTTTAAAGACTTGAAGAATGGTTGATTTGCCCATGTTAAAGAGCACAGTCAGGTTTCCTGCTTGTTAGGTATTCTTTATTAGAAGAAACAGAGAAACTTGGGTTCAAATCTGGTGCCTCTACTTCCCACGTCTTACCATGGACAAGTTACTAACCTTTTTTGAGTCTAAATAGTTTTTGGATTAAAAAAAGAAAAAATGGGATAACTAAATAATACCTCCCTCCTAGGGGTGTGGTGAAATCTAGGTGAAACAGTGTATTACAAGAAGAGAGTATACAAGGAAGGACCTGTAAGGTAGTAAATGCTCGAAAAATGTTAATTCCTCCCTTCACCCGCTCAAATTTCATGTCTGGTATAAAATCAGATACATGTGATAAATGCTTAATAAATATTAACTGACTGATTATTCTTACCTTTTCAAATGTTGTTTTGCTTCTGGGATCCCAGCCATATCCTCTTTCAATAAGTACTTCTTAACTCCTAAAACATAATTTTCAATGTATTCCAACCAGTTCAACTGGCGCACATCAAAGTTGAATACCTGAAAGGCAAGAAGAGATTATGAATTGCCAGATTTTCATTGCTGGAGACAGTCACCTTGTCCTTTTGATGAAGTTTCTTTTACATAAATGAGTGACATTTGGTTTGAGAGACTTGGACCCCTCCAAAGGAGATTATTTGAGCTGTTACTTCAAAGGCATTGACAATATGGGTTGCCATTTACACAGAAATATTTAAACATAGATCAAGCACAAATATTTGACTTTTGGGAAGTCTTGTGAGGGGAAACTTAAAGGAACTGGCATTAGTCTGGTAAAAGCTACTTTCATTTCAAGCAAATGGGGATTAATTATTTTTAAAAGTGATGGAATAACTTTGGTTAGGGACCAAAACAAATTGTGCTTCTTTTCCATTCTTAAATTTTGTGGTGTTTCCTTGGCCTACCATCCTTTACTACTTCATTGTGCAGATTAAGGTAAACTGGATAAGCAAAGCCTTAAGGAAAAGTTTAACAGAATTTATATTCTGTATTTGCTTTAGAGATGTTATCTACTATGTGTGCTGTTTTGATGCCCTTCAAAAGCATTTAGAGTTAAGTGGTAAGAGTTAGTGCTTCTCTTGGAACACTAGTGCATTTCCTCCTCTTGGACATAGAATGCCATGAAACTATATTTTCCCTTTCACTTTGCCACCAGAAAGCTCAAAAACAAATTTCCTGCTTAACTGCAGTGACTAGATAGGATCTCGTAGACTACACATGGATGGACATTCTATTTTTCTTATCTTTGACTTTACATTTTAACATTTTCCCTAGTTTTTTTTTTTTTTTTTAAAGATTTTATTTATTTATTTGACAGAGACACAGAGAGAGAGGGAACACAAGCAGGGGGAGTGGGAGAGAGAGAAGCAGGCTTCCCGCACAGCAGGGAGCCCGATGCGGGGCTCGATCCCAGGACCCTGTGATCATGACCTGAGCCAAAGGCAGACGCTTAACGACTGAGCCACCCAGGCGCCCCAACATTTTCCCTAGTTTGACATTTTATTTCTCTTGTTCTTTTATTATATGTGTTTATTGCAAGTTAAATCTTTGTGAAATTATATGGAGTGTTAACAAAGCAGATGAGATTGAGTTCCAGAGAGCTTCATAGACTTGTCCAACAGCTGAAATGCTTTCCAAAAGTAATTAATCACTTTGGATATGTTTGTTTTCTATAGTAGTACTAAATATTACTTATTCATCTATGTAAGAGGCTTTTATTTTTATACTATTTCACATTTCTAAGTTAGATTTCAGTGAGGCCCTAGTTTGGAATCCTCATTACATAGGGCGAATCAAACTCAATTCTAAGCCAGAGTTTGGCAATTATACCAAATTATTCAGGACTATTACCTTTGTTAAGATATTTTGAAAGCGTATGTTAAATCCATAGCAGATTTAATTTTTTTTTTCACAAAATTTTTGGTTATTTTAGGTTAAAATAGTAAAATGTCAAAAAATGAAACTCTAAGCTATTACCTTTTGAATTATTTAGATGGATAAATTCCTTGGAGAGAATGCAATAAAAATAAGTGTACATGAGATTTGAAGCTAATTTTAAAAATAATTTACAATAGCTAGAGCTTTTTTTTTTAATAAGCTAGTTTGATCACTACACATTTTAAACAAGTGCTTAGAATAATTTTGGCTATACAAGGTATGTAAACATTTCTGAAAATAGCTCTATTTCATGTCAGGTTTAGAGATGCTCAGCAATTATTTCTAAATCTCTAAATCTCACTTGGTGTACTTAATATATTTAATACAACACTTAACAGTGTTTGACTTTGCAAGTGACCCTTAGGTCCCATGACCCTAAGTAATTTTAGGGCTTTATAGTTTTTGGATTTGAATCCTGCTCTGTGAGGCTGGAGTGTAGGAGTAAATCCCTTAACTGGCAAGTGAGGCAAACTATGGCCTTCTAACGTTTCCTTCTCAGTTTGACTTGGTCTCTTCTATATGCTGCCAAGTACTAGATAAATCAAGAAATGCTTTATTCTTTAAAATAAAAAATAGTAGATAATGTCAATCAAGAGAGTGAAAACTTTGAAGTTTAGTTGAAAACTAAGGATATGCTTGGGGAACACCTGACTCCTCAAGAAGAAAAAAGCTAGGAACATGTACAAAGTATGAAAGATTTCTTTCTTTCTTTCTTTTTTTTTTAAGATTTTATTTATTTGACAGAGTGAAAGAGCACAAGCAGGGGGAGCAGCACAGGGAGAGGAAGAAGCTGGCCCCCTTCCGAGCAGGGAGCCTGATGCGGGACTCGATCCCAGGACCCTGGGATCATGACCTGAGCCGAAGGCAGATGCTTAACCATCTGAGCCACCCAGGCGCCCAGTATGAAAGATTTCTATATTTGTGAATTTCAGAATATGCAAAGATTTCAGGACCTAATGTCTGCAACTGCCCAGAAGCTAATGTAAAGAAATAAATGGCACTGATGCTCAGCAATTAAAAGTGAAGGCCTGTCTTGAGAAAAGTCTGAATTGTTGAAGACAGGTCATTAGAGGGAGAGGGAAGCTGTCTGTGCTGTCAGTGTGCTAGAGGGTGGGAGGGAGGTCTTGGTGGGATGCACATGTGAGGAGGGGTTAGCTTTGGAGATGCAGAATGATTTTGATTTAACAAGAAGAGTGGATGTGTTTATGAATGGTAAAATTAATGATTTTTTCATTGAAGTCCTATGTTGTGGGGTTAGGGAAAATATAGAGGTTTGTTGAAAACAGCCACCAAGGGCAAACAGGGATTGAAGCAAAGTATGTGAAATGTGACTGCAGGATAGCAGTGAGGATCTAATCAAAGTCAAGAACTCAGGTCTCTTACATTAACTTATGTCCTGCAATTGTGTCAATAGCATGGACAGATTTTCTTAGGGGCCCCCCCCCAAAAAAGATTATGTATATAACTAAAACTTCCTTTATTCATCAGCTTTCCAGGTCAAATAATTCTAAATTCCAAATGAGCAGATTTTCCTGTTGGTTGTCAGCGCTCTACTTACTCTCTGATCTTCAGGACTCAGCTCAGACATCAGCATTTCCGTATTGTACGTGCTCCATTCCCAACTCCGGTTGACAAAATACTCCAGCATGGAAACGGTTTTTAAAAGCCGATTCATGACCTTTGTCATCCTGGGGTAAAGATCAGGTAGGAACAAATATCAGCACACTACTGATGGCTGATTTCCCTGTTACTCTATAGGATGTGTGACAAATTACTTTCGAGAAAATATAAAAAATTTCACTCTTCTCTTTCCCCCATTTCCTCATTAAAACACGTATTCTTTTTTCTCTTTCCACATTAACTGTTGAATGAAGGAATGGGATGAATCTAAAGGAGTTTGTTCTATTAATCATTTTATTTATTTATTTTTAAGATTTTTTTTTTTTAATTTATTTGAGACAGAGAGAATGAGAGAGAGCACATGAGAGGGGGGAGGGTCAGAGGCAGAAGCAGGCTCCCTGCCGAGCAGGGAGCCTGATGCGGGACTCAATCCAGGGACTCCAGGATCATGACCTGAGTCGAAGGCAGTCGCTTAACCAACTGAGCCACCCAGGCACCCCTCTATTAATCATTTTAAAACCACCAAACTCCTCCTCTTCCTCTTTACTACCTTAAGAGTAGCAAACATTTAAAAAAACCCAGCCTGATACCAGAAAAGAACTTACTAGGTGATAACCCAGTTTCTGGCACCGTGCTGATACTTTAAAAAATTATCTCAGCTAGTTCTCATAGCATCTGTTAGGTAGGTATGTATCTACATTTTTTTTTTTTTAAGATTTTATTTGAGAGAGAGAGAAAGAGAGAGCAAGCACATGAGAGGGGGGAGGGTCAGAGGGAGAAGCAGACTCCCTGCCGAGCAGGGAGCCCGATGCGGGACTTGATCCAGGGACTCCAGGATCATAACCTGAGCCGAAGGCAGTCGCTTAACCAACTGAGCCACCCAGGCACCTGGTATGTATCTACATTTTATGAACAGGCAAAGTGAGCTTAAGATAGATTAAGTGTCCATGATAATATAAGCATCAGAAGGAAAATTCCAACCCAGTTTTGACCAACCTGAAAAAGCCTCTGCTTTTGTAATCTCACCACTCTGTGTCCTGTTACTTCCCATGGCTGGCATATTCCCATCCTGGGATCAGGACATGGACCATCTCCACTGTGTGAACTTTCCAACTTTAAAGCAATTTATGGAAAACTTTCATAGTTGCTCTTATTTGATCCTCACAGGTAGTAAAGACCTATATTCTTTATCTTCATCTTACAGAAGGATTAACAGGTTCAAGGTCACACAGCTAATGCATCAACCTAGATCTGGCTACAAATCACTTTGGCCTGTAGAACATTTGGCCTTTAGAACATTTATCTCAGGCCAGTTTTAGCAGTAGCGATTACTGCAGTTGACCCAGTAATGACTTGTGATGCTCTTTTGGGAATTTGGTCTTATTTCTGGTCAAATCCTAACGCCCATATACCTAATGACTTAAGAAGGACTGCCCTCGTTGTATCATGGGAAATTCTTAGGCAGAAGGTAGACTCGTTATTCCCTGATACAAGCATCATAAAAGGGTTCCGTTTGGCTATTATCATCTTACATTTTTGCTATCTACTGAATATTTATCCTTTCCAAATTCATAGATTTAAACCTATTTTCACCAATGTGATAGTATTTGGAGAAGACTTTGGGAGGTGATTAGTGCCCTTTATAAAAGAGACCCCAGAAATCTCTCCTGGCCTTTCCACATGTGAGGACACAGAGAGATGGCTGTCTAGGAGCCAGAAAGCAGGCCCTCAGCAGATGCTGAATCTACCAGCACCGTGGTCTTAGACTGCCCAGTCTCAAATCAACTTCCGTTGTTTATAACCAACCCAGTCAATGAGATTGTTATAGCAGCCCAAATGGACGACAATCTTTATCCCTCCTACAACTCTGATGTCACTGATGTGATTTCAAGAAATTTAATTTTTAAAAAATAATCATTGTAGAATGATATACTACATACAGGAATATATCAGCATAATAGTATTTTTTCTTAGAATACATTTATTACTTTCAGATACAGAAGTTGTTAACACATAAAATGTAAAACCCATAAAGGAAAAGAGTGATTCATTTTTTTCACATAAAAATCTAAAACTTCTTCAGTAATGACAGTGATTATTATATTCTATGCTGTCTTACATAAAGCCTTATAAAATAGGTATGATTACTGCCCCTTTTTACTGGTGAGGCAGTTAGGTATTAGAGACAGTAATTTAGGGCTCATATAGCCCTTGACTTGGTAAAGCCATGATTCAAATGTGTAAGTCAGACTCTAAACTCCATCTCTTAAGAAAACCTACATTGTAGGTAGTCCCCTTGTATTAGAAAAAGCTTCATAATCAAAGCTATGAGATAAGAAATTGACTTGGAGAAAATACATTAAATATATATTTATTCACACAAGTATGAGTTTCTGTAAGTTAATAAGGTCAACCCAATAGAAAAATAGGTGAGAAGCAGAGGCAGACAACTCACAGAGGAGAAACCTTGAATGTCCAATGAACAAATGAAAGCCCAGCCCCTCCAGCAATCAGGGAAATGCAAATCAAAGTAACAAAGAGATGACCTTCATTGCCATTAGTTTGACAATTCAAAAGATTGATTTCGTTTTGCCAAGTATTGATGAGGGTAATTAAAAACGCATTTTTACCCTGCCATGCTGATGTGGTAGTGCAAAATGATAGAGCTTTCCTTTAGGGCAACCTAGCGGCAGTTGCAAAATCCAGATAGCCTCCAATCCAGCAGTCACACTCCTCAGCATCCTCCCCAGACCCAGTGGTATGTTCCAAAAAAAAAAATGCAGGTGCACTGATATTCATTACCCCATTGTAATAGGAAAAAACTAGGCAGAATGACTTAGATTTTCAAGGAAAATTAGTGAAAAAATTTGGAAAATACGTAAGCTTGATTTACACACACGCACACACATACCTCAAAGCAAAACTATGTTTATATATGTCTATATATGGTTGTAAATGCATAGATTACACACAGACATACCTGGGAAGGGAAAGAGTCTAAAAGAATTCTAACATTTTCTGCCATAAAGATGATTCTTAAAATTCTTATAGAAACCTAGCCATTTCCCACAAATACTACAATTTAATTTCTCAAAATTCATAAAGATTTTTATTGGCTCCCTTCCACCTTTTTTCTTTTCTACTTACAGAACTTTGCTCTTTATCCAGGTCTTCCAACCCTGATAAATTTTAAAGTTTTCAGCATTTCTGCCTATAATGTTTGTTTTCCTTCTTTTCCCATCTTTATTTAATAAGCCCCATACAAATATTTTCCCCATAGCCACAGCATCTCCTTTTCACCTTGCTCAAGAAGAACCTGATTACTGAGTTATGAGCTCTAAATAAGTTCTCTGCAAATTTGGATAAATGCAACATTGCCTAAGTTTTAGCCATTTGCACTGCTAATAAATGCCGAGAGAGACTTCTTCATATAAAGAGACTAGCATAGAAGGCAATGCTATTCATGCTTCCAATGCTTGCTTGCAGGGATTGCCTTTGGTAATTATAATAATGATGACTCTTCAGACGCAACAGAAAATTCTTCAAGTGAGACAGAGAGAAAGGGATAGGTCCTATGTCACACAGCTAGATGGCAACAGAGCTGCCTCAGCATCAGCACATTTCATTCTACCTTGTTCCCCTTAATTTCTTTATTCACCTCTAGGTGGCAGTAACTCTAGCTCAGGTTTCTCCAGATCTTTCCTCTTTTCAACTTCTAGACTACTCTATATTCTTCCCTTAGCTTCTATTTCCTATTTGTAAAATTGGTGTAATGAGTACATCCTCTCTGGATTGTTGTGAGAATGAAAACGAGATCATCCTACATCATCCCGCGTGTGTGTGTGTGTGCGTTACCGTTTTTTTTTTTTTTTTAAAGATTTTTTATTTATTTATTAGAGAGAGAATGAGAGAGAGAGCATGAGAGGGAGGAGGGTCAGAGGAAGAAGCAGACTCCCTGCCGAGCAGGGAGCCCGATGCGGGACTCGATCCCGGGACTCCAGGATCATGACCTGAGCCGAAGGCAGTCACTTAACCAACTGAGCCACCCAGGCGCCCTGTGTTACCGTTTTTAAGATTACCTAACAGTTTAGAAAACCCCAGACTTACAGTCTCACTTGCTTTGCTTTTTGGGTGGATGATTACTTGCTGAATTCACCAAGCAAGTTTCTCAACATTTAACTTCATTATGACAGAGGATTTTTAAGGTAGGGGTCCCTTTGGGGATTCTCATTACTACTGCTTCAGTTGGCCCCAAATTTATGTAAGATTCAGTTGTCACCTTCAAGCCCCAGATGAAAAGAGGGCTAAGGACTTCGGGGGCCCTAATCTTCCATGCAACAACGCTCTTAAAGCAACTGACCCGGCTTCTCACCTGGGCTTCCTTCCTGTGAGCCGCAGATAGAAGTCGTAGATGATGGCAGGGGCCCGGTGGCTGACTGCATTCCAGTACTGGCTTGTGATGGTGTTGGTTGTGAAGTCTGCATTTGGCCTCCTAAAAGCTCTCTCAAATGGGACTTTTTCAAAGGTTGCCAAGACTTGGAATCCTGGGGAAAAAAATAGAGTACAAGTCTGGGAGCATATAAGCCCACTGTAGAGGAGGGCATTTGCAATGGGTCAAAATGATAAAGACCAGTGATTGGCTGTGTAGAGTCAAGAATCAATCTCTGAGAACAATATTAAGATATTTATGCCAGGCAAGAGGTCACCTACAAAATCAAATAACGAGAATGGGTTCTGAATTGGGTCCTTTTCCTGAAACCTTTATCTAAAACAACTTCTTGGGGAAATAGTTTCAGTCAATACAGTGAAGTATTGTTCAGAAAAACTTAAAATCCATCATTTGGTTCCCAGGTTATCTAGTCTATTCTGAAAGCCTCAAGACAGAGCCTGAGAGCCTTATTTCCTAGGTTGGATCATTAGTTGTAGAACCATCAGTAAAGTTTCTTCATATTTACTTAAACCTTTATAAAGGGCTACTTAAAGGTTCATAAAGGTTTAAGTGAAAAAGAGAATATTAAGGCAGGATTCCCTTGTGTTGGTTCACTTTAGATACCGGTCTTTTACTTCTTTGGTATTTCTGCTTCTCTGGGACTATCCCAGACTCCATTGTCCATCCATTCTTGTCTCCAGATTTTTTCCACAATACTTTTAATATTATTATGTAAATTATGTAGATAAAACCTAGATAAAAGTTTAGAAACTTTTAATGTACATTTGTAAAATAATTCTTTTCAAATGATATTAATTCCAATTCAATGTTCATTTTATCTATGTAAAATTTTCAAAGAATATACCTAAGTTCATTATTCAATTATGATGAAGATATCAGTTATTATGGTAATATGATTGTTGTCCTCTTTAAAGTATATTACTTGGAAATCTATATAAAATCTATACAGAAGAGATTCTCAAGAAACATCTGACCTAGGAATCTCTTTTTCCTCCCAGAGGGATTCATATTCACTTTTAAGAATCACTACTGGAATGGGTACTGCACAGAGGCCAGAGACCTGTCTTTTACTTCTGTTTGAGGTACGAGCCCTCCATATGAATTTGAATAGATCTTTTACTCTCTTGGGGCCTCATATATAAAATAAAGCAAGGCCACTAGATTATTTTTAAGATTACTTTCAACTATGACATTGTATAATTTGATAAACAGATAATAGGTTTTGGCGTGGAAGAAGAATTTTGAATTTCAGAAATGGAATTTACATGTAGCATCTTTTTATTTAAGAGCTTAACATATCATCTTTGCTTCTATTAATGCTTGTTTTTTAATCCTGTTACTGAGGTAGAGGAGATTTATTTTTATTTCCAAATGTTTTCAGAATTATTTAGATATATGATCTAAATAACTGGATATATGATCTAAAGAACTTTGATGGCAGTAATTTCATTTTTATTGAAGTAACAACTTTACAAATAGAATAGCATAGCAGAGTGCTCTGAAATGGAAATCAGATTCTAACAAATTAAGTACATGTGATTTTTTTTAATATCTAGTACCTAAATAAAACTAGATGATCTCAAAGTTTCAGATATTTGCAGAAAACCAACTCCTAAATTGACAAAGGAGTACAAGATTGGTTAGCTAATTTTCAGTTACATGCAGGATTAATTACTTCCATTCAACAAGATATTTTCGAGGTTACACTTATGGCTCACTGTATAAATCGATGAAGAGTATCACTGACTCAATAACAAAAGGTAGCATTATTGAACTCTTCTAAATCTACTTGGTTATTGATGATCTCACAGTTGCAGTGATGTAGCCAGGGGACAAGGGACGTGTGTGTGTGTGAGCAGCCCCTGCCTCAGCACGAGGAGCATTTCCTCACTGACGTTACTTATAACTGCTGACTTTTACTTGGTTTTATCTATTTTTAAAATCTTTATAGCCAGTGGACCCCTTATTGCTTACAATCATGCACATTATTCCCACTAACCCCCTTTCTTTGATGCTCCACAGCACATTCTAGTTAACTCTTACACATTCATTATTACTAATTATTTTATCTTTTACTTATTTTTTGTCTTTTTCTCCCATTAGACTCTAAGCTCCAGGACACATTTTGTCACATTTTCCCCCTGTGGTAGACACTAAAACTGTGCGGGCAGATGCTAATAGTTATGTAGTTACATCTCTACAGGCGCTTACCCATTTTTCTCCAATTACAAGGATTGAGGTTACCAGATGTACAGTGGTAGATTAATGTTGACTTAGGTCTGGAAAATGAAATAAAAATTAAATAAATACAACAAAATGGAGGACAAATGAAAGATAGGGAAAAACAACATGTAGGCAAGGATGTTTCAATAATTCCTATAACTAGGTCAACACTCCATCTTCTGTTCCTTCTTTGGGTAAAAATGCAAAATGGAAGAACACGAGGAAAGTGTTTGTGCATGTGCATATGAAAGAGGGCTCAAATAAGTTGATGTATTTAGGGAGCAAATGGAGGTACCATGACAATGAGAAAGTAGATCATATTGTTAACTTCTAGACATATTTATTGGGCAAAATATAGGCTATGTTTTCTTCTAAGTCCAGTTCAGCCCTGCTGGATTGAATCGAAAACAACTAAATGGCTGACTTTAAATAAGAAAAATTTAATTCTGTTTGCCATTTACAAACAGAGTCAAATATACAAACAACTTTTTTTTTTTTTGTACTAGGAAATAGAGCCCCCCCCCCCCCCCCAATGGAGATCTGAACTTTTGGCATATATCAGGAAATGAGCAGCTGTATAAAATATAAAAGATGCCCTTATTTCACCCACTTTTATCTCCTTTGCCTTAAAAAAGGGAGCTGTATTTTAGATTACTGAATAGAAAGAAAAGCTTTTTTGGGTTAGAATTTTAAGGTTAAATGATTTAGAGTTTGTTACTTTATACAAAATACGAAGCAGTATTTATAAAATACCTCCATGCATACGTGATGGCATATTTGGAACTTTGTAAAATATTGAGACCGATTCTCTCTGATATTTGGGGTCTTCTACAATCAAATGTGTATATTTTGAAGCTAAGCCTAACATATTCACCCTCCTCCTCATCAAATCTTTGAAAGCTGGCTTCCACATGCGCACCTGTGAACAGCTGTGTACCATCCCACAGCCAAGGTGAGATTGACGACTGTATCAACGGGAATTAAATCTGCCACAGCCATCGGAGTAGCTCTTATGGACCGAAGAAACCCTTTGCCAGCCTGTGAGGAAAAAGAGCATGAAACACTGAACCAAGTTTTAAGTAACAGCTGGGGCTAATACTAATGCTGCTCGAAATAATAGTTAACACTGACTCGCTGCTTACTAGGTTATTGGGCTAAGGCTGACTTCTCTCAGCCTATCCAACCCCCCAGCCAAGTCCATCTCAAATGACAGCATTTCCATAGAGGTCCTCGGGTTCTGTTAGGGAGTGGAGTTCCTCAAATTTGTGAGAAGTTAATATGTTTAGTTAATTAACAAACACCAAGAATAGTTTTTTACATTTAAAAATTAATTCATAAGATATCTTAAAAACTAAGGTTTCCCACATTTCCCATTAATATTAGTTTACCATTTTATTTATTTATTATTTATTTATTTATTTGAGATAGAAGAAGGAAGAACGAGCAGGAGGGAGAGGGAGAAGCAGGCTCCCCACTGAGCGGGGGGCCCAGACACGGGACTGGATCTCAGGACTCTGGGATCATGACCTGAGCCAAAGGCAGACACTTACTGAGCCACCCAGGTGTCCCTTAGTTTACCATTTCTTTTTTTTATTGTTATGTTAATCACCATATATTACATCATTAGTTTTTGATATAGTGTTCCATGATTCATTGTTTGTGCATGACACCCAGTGCTCCATGCAGAACGTTCCCTCTTTAATACCCATCACCAGGCTAACCCATCCTCCCACCCCCCTCCCCTCTAGAACCCTCAGTTTGTTTTTCAGAGTCCATAATCTCTCATGGTTCCTCTCCCCCTCCGATTTCCCCCCCCTTCATTTTACCCCTCCTGCTATCTTTTTTTTTTCTTAACATATATTGCATTATTTGTTTCAGAGGTACAGATCTGTGATTCAACAGTCTTGCACAATTCACAGCGCTCACCATAGCACATACCCTCCCCAGTGTCTATCACCCAGCCACCCCATCCCTCCCACCCCACCCCCCACTCCAGCAACCCTCAGTTTGTTTCCTGAGATTAAGAATTCCTCATATCAGTGAGGTCATATGATACATGTCTTTCTCTGATTGACTTATTTCGCTCAGCATAACACCCTCCAGTTCCATCCGCGTCGTTGCAAATGGCAAGATCTCATTCCTTTTGATGGCTGCATAATATTCCATTGTATATATATACCACATCTTCTTTATCCATTCATCTGTCGATGGACATCTTGGCTCCTTCCACAGTTTGGCTATTGTGGACATTGCTGCTATAAACATCAGGGTGCACGTACCCCTTCGGATCCCTATATTTGTATCTTTGGGGTAAATACCCAATAGTGCAATTGCTGGAGCGTATAGTAGCTCTATTTTCAACTTTTTGAGGAACCTCCATACTGTTTTCCAGAGTGGTTGCACCAGCTTGCATTCCCAACAACAGTGTAGGAGGGTTCCCCTTTCTCCGCATCCCTGCCAACATCTGTTGTTTCCTGACTTGTTAATTTTAGCCATTCTGACTGGTGTGAGGTGGTATCTCATTGAGGTTTTGATTTGGATTTCCCTGATGCCGAGCGATGTTGAGCACTTTTTCATGTGTCTGTTGGCCATTTGGATGTCTTCTTTGGGAAAATGTCTGTTCATGTCTTCTGCCTATTGATTGGATTATTCTTTGGGTGCTGAGTTTGATAAGTTCTTTATAGATTTTGGATACTAGCCTTTATCTGATATGTCATTTGCAAATATCTTCTCCCATTCTGTCGGTTGTCTTGGTTTTGTTGACTTTCTTTTGCTGTGCAAAAGCTTTTTATCTTGATAAACTCCCAATAGTTCATTTTTGTCCTTGCTTTCCTTGCCTTTGGCGATATTTCTAGGAAGAAGCTGCTGTGGCTGAGGTCGAAGAGATTGCTACCTGTGTTCTCCTTTAGGATTTTGATGGACTCCTGTCTCACATTTAGGTCTTTCAACCATTTAGGGTCTCTTTTTTTTTTTAAAGATTTTATTTATTTATTTGACAGAGAGACACAGCGAGAGAGGAAACACCAGCAGGGGGAGTGGGAGAGAGAGAAGCAGGCTTCCCGCGGAGCAGGGAGCCCAATGCGGGGCTCGATCCCAGGACCCTGGGATCATGACCCGAGCCGAAGGCAGACGCTTAACGACTGAGCCACCCAGGCGCCCCTAGGGTCTCTTTTTGTGTGTGGTGTAAGGAAATGGTCCAGTTTCATTCTTCTGCATGTGGCTGTCCAATTTTCCCAATACTATTTGTCGAAGAGACTTTTTCCATTAGACATTCTTTCCTGCTTTGTCGAAGATTAGTTGACCATAGGGTTGAGGGTCCATTTCTGGGCTCTCTACTCTGTTCCATTGATCTATGCATCTGTTTTTGTGCCAGTACCATATTGTCTTAATGATGACAGCTTTGTAATAGAGCTGGAAGTCCGGAATTGTGATGCCGCCAGCTTTGCTTTTCTTTTTCAATATTCCTCTGGCTATGCGGGGTCTTTTCTGGTTCCATACAATTTTTAGGATTATTTGTTCCATTTCTTTGAAAAAAGTGGATGGTATTTTGATGGGGATTGCATTGAATGTGTAGATTGCTCTAGGTAGCATTGACATCTTCACAATATTTGTTCTTCCAATCCATGAGCATGGAACGTTTTTCCATTTCTTTGTGTCTTCCTCAATTTCTTTCATGAGTATTTTATAGTTTTCTGAGTACAGATCCTTTGCCTCTTTGGTTAGATTTATTCCTAGGCATCTTATGGTTTTGGGTGCAATTGTAAATGCACTCCTTAATTTCTCTTTCTTCTGTCTTATTGTTGGTATATAGGAATTCCACTGATTTCTGTGCATTGATTTTATATCCTGCCACTTTACTGAATTCCTGTATGAGTTCTAGCAGTTTTGGGGTGGAGTCTTTTGGGTTTTCCACATAAAGTATCATATCATCTGCAAACAGTGAGAGTTTGACTTCTTTGCCGATTCGGATGCCTTTGATTTCTTTTTGTTGTCTGATTGCTGTGGCCAGGACTTCTAATACTATGTTGAATAGCAGTGGTGATAGTGGACATCCCTGCTGTGTTCCTGACCTTAGGGGGAAAGCTCTCAGTTTTTCCCCATTGAGAATGATATTCGCTGTGGGTTTTTCATAGATGCCTTTTATGATATTGAGGTATGTACCCTCTATGCCTATACTCTGAAGAGTTTTGATCAAGAAAGGATGCTGTACTTTGTCAAATGCTTTTTCTGCATCTATTGAGAGGATCATATGATTCTTGTTCTTTCTTTTGTTAATGTATTGTATCACATTGATTGATTTGCGGATGTTGAACCAACCTTGCAGCCCAGGGATAAATCCCACTTGGTTGTGGTGAATAATCCTTTTAATGTACTGTTGGATCCTATTGGCTAGTATTTTGGTGAGAATTTTTGCATCCATGTTCATCAAGGCTATTGGTCTGTAATTCTCCTTTTTGATGGGGTCTTTGTCTGGTTTGGGGATCAAGGTAATGCCTCATAAAATGAGTTTGGAAGTTTTCCTTCCATTTCTATTTTTTGGAACAGTTTCAGAAGAATAGGTATTAATTCTTCTTGAAATGTTTGGTAGAATTCCCCTGGGAAGCCATCTGGCCCTGGGCTTTGGTTTGTTGGGAGATTTTTGATGACTGCTTCAATTTCCTTAGTGGTTATAGGTCTGTTCAGGTTTTCTATTTCTTCCTGGTTCAGTTTTGGTAGTTGATACATCTCTAGGAATATATCCATTTCTTCCAGGTTATCTAATTTGCTGGCATAGAGTTGCTCACAATATGTTTTTATAATTGTTTGTATTTCTTTGGTGTTGGTTGTGATCTCTCATTCATGATTTTGTTGATTTGGGTCCTTTCTCTTTTCTTTTTGGTAAGTCTGGCCAAGGGTTTATCAATCTTGTCAATCCTTTCAAAGAACCAGCTCCTAGTTTCGTTGATCTGTTCTACTGTTCTTTTGGTTTCTATTTCATTGATTTCTGCTCTGATCTTTATTATTTCTCTTCTCCTGATGGGTTTACGCTTTATTTGCTGTTCTTTCTCCAGCTCCTTTAGATGTAGGGTTAGGTTGTGTATTTGAGACCTTCCTTGTTTCTTGAGAAAGTCTTGTATTGCTATATACTTTCCTCTTAGGACTGCCTTTGCTGCATCCCAAAGATTTTGAACAGTTGTGTTTTCATTTTCATTGGTTTCCATGAATTTTTTAAATTCCTCTTTAATTTCCTGGTTGACCCATTCATTCTTTAGTAGGATGCTCTTTAGCCTGCATGTATTTGAGTTCTTTCCACTTTCCTCTTGTGATTGAGTTCTAGTTTCAAAGCATTGTGGTCTGAAAATAGGCAGGGAATGATCCCAATCTTTTGGTACCGGTTGAGACCTGATTTATGACCTAGGATGTGATCTATTCTGGAGAATGTTCCATGGGCACTAGAGAAGAATGTGTATTCTGTTGCTCTGGGATGGAATGTTCTGAATATGTCTGTGAAGACCATTTGGTCCAGTGTGTCATTTAAAGTCTTTATTTCCTTGTTGATCTTCTGCTTAGATGATCTGTCCATTTCAGTGAGGGGGGTGTTAAAGTCCCCCAGTATTATTGTATTGTTGTCAATGTGTTTCTTTGCTTTTGTTATTAATTGCCTTATATAATTAGCTGCTCCCATGTTAGGAGCATAGATATTTACAGTTGTTAGATCTTCTTGTTGGATAGACCCTTTAAGTAGGATATAGTGTCCTTCCTCATCTCTTATTACAGTCTTTGGTTTAAAATTGAATTTGTCTGATATAAGGATTGCCATCCCAGCTTTCTTTTGGTGTCCATTAGCAAGGGAAATGGTTTTCCACCCCCTCACTTTCCTTCTGGGGGTGTCTTTGGGTCTAAAATGAGTCTCTTGCAGACAGCATATCAATGGGTCTTGTTTTTTAATCCAATCTGATAGTCTGTGTCTTTTGATTGGGGCATTTAGCCCATTTACATCCAAGGTAACTACTGAAAGATATGAATTTAGTGCCATTGTATTGCCTGTAAGGTGACTGTTACTGTATATTTTCTGTGTTCCTTTCTGGTCTATGTTGCTTTTAGGCTCTCTCTTTGCTTAGAGGACCCCTTTCAATATTTCTTGTAGGGCTGGTTTCGTGTTTGCAAATTCCTTTAGTTTTTGTTTTTCCTGGAAGCTTTTTATCTGTCCTTCTATTTTCAGTGACAGCCTAGCTGGATATAGTATTCTTGGCTGCATATTTTTCTCATTTAGTGCTCTGAATATATCATGCCAGTCCTTTCTGGCCTGCCAGGTCTCTGTGGATGGGTCTGTTGACAATCTAATATTTCTACCATTGTAGGTTACATATCTCTTCTCCCAAGCTGCTTTCAGGATTTTCTCTTTGTCTCTGAGACTCGTAAGTTTTACTATTAGATGTCGGGATGTTGACCTATTTTTATTGGTTTTGAGAGGGGATCTCTGTGCTTCCTGGATTTTGATGCCTGTTTCCTTCCCCAAATTAGGGAAGTTCTCTGCTATAATTTGCTCCAATATACCTTCTGCCCCTCTCTCTTTCTTCTTCTTCTGGGATCCCAATTATTCTAATGTTTCATCTTATGGTATTGCTTATCTCTCGAATTCTGCCCTTGTGATCCAGTAGTTGTTTAGCTCTCTTTTTCTCAGCGTCTTTATTTTCCATCATTTGGTCCTCTGTATCACTGATTCTCTCTTCTGCCTCATTTATCCTAGCAGTTAGTGTCCCCATTTTTGATTGCACCTTATTAATAGCCTTTTTGATTTCGACTTGGTTAGGTTTTAGTTCTTTTATTTCTCCAGAAAGGGTTTCTCTAATAACTTCCATGCTTTTTTCAAGCCCAGCTAGTATCTTTAAAGTGATGATTCTGAACTCTAGATCTGACATCATACTAATGTCCGTATTGAGTAGGTCCCTGGCAGTTGGTACTACCTCTTGTTCTTTTTGTTGAGGTGATTTTTTTCTGTCTTGTCATTTTGTCCAGAGGAGAATAATGAGTGAGCAAAATGCTAACAGGATAACAACATCCTCAGAAAATATACTCTAAACAAATCAGAAAAGACCTGAAGCTGGGGGAAAAGAAAGGGAAAGAAAGAAAAAAGAGAAATAAGAAAAAGAAAAAGATAAAAACAAACAAAAACAGAACAAAACAAAAAAACCCAGAATATGATCAAATATGATCAGGCTGGTGCATAGATCAGTGCCACACACTAGATTTTGGGTGTATTTTGGTCTGTTAGAAGAAAGTGCCTCCAAAATTTTAAAGAAGGAAAAACATTTATGTACAAAAATAAGGGTTGATATGATGAAGGGATGCAATATGACTGTAAAGATGAAAATTATAAAATTTTTATAAAAGGAATTAAGTTGTTTGAAAAAAGAAAGAGGAGTTTTTTTTTAAAAGATTTATTTATTTATTTGAGAGAGAGAGAATGAGAGAGAGCACATGAGGGAGGAGGGTCAGAGGGAGAAGCAGACTCCCTGCCGAGCAGGGAGCCCGATGCGGGACTTGATCCGAGGACTCCAGGATCATAACCTGAGCTGAAGGCAGTCGCTTAACCAACTGAGCCACCCAGGCGCCCGAAGAAAGAGGATTTAAAAAAAAGAGAGAATGTGACCAGGCAGGAGAGTAGAACAAAACCATACACTAGAGATTTAGAGTATATTTTGATCTGTTAGAAGAAACTATCTCAAAATTTTAAAGAGAGAACAACTTATATATATATATGCCAAAAATAAGGGTAACTACTATGAAGGGATTGAATGTGACTCTAAAAATGAAAAATAAAAATGTTTTTTAAAAAAGGGATTGATAAGATGTTGAAAAAAGGAAAAAAAATTAAAAAGAAATTAACTTTGAAAGACTAAAGAATCATGGGAAAAAAGCCATGATTTCTATGTGCAGTATTCCCCTAGTGCTGGAGTTCTGCCGTTCTCATTGATCGGTAAACTTGGTCTTGGCTGGCTGTTCTCGCTGATCTGGGGGAGGGGCCTGTTGCCGTGGTTCCCAAATGTCTTTGCCTGAGGTGGAATTGCCCCGCCCTTGCCGGTTAGGGCTAAGTAATCTGCTCGGGTTTGCTCTCAGGAGCTTTTGTTCCCTGCGAGCTTTCCGTACAGCTTTGGAGGCGGAGAGTGAAAATGGTGGCCTCCCAATCTCTGACCCGGAGAAGCTGAGAACTCAGGGCCCCACTCCTCAGTGAGCCCCCAGAGAGAAGCAGTCAATCACTCCTGTCTCCCCGGTCTCTGGCCGCACTTCATGCTCACCTGGCCTGTGACCGAGCATCTCCTTCTTTGGCACCTGACTCAGTGTGTAGTCTCCAAACCCAGCAGATCCCTGCGGTGCACTCCCACACCGCTCCTCCCGGGGGAGGAAGGGGAGTCTCCCCAGATCTGCCGCTTGTTGGGTCCCTGCTGGAGGAGCAGTGGCCCGACTGTGCCGCGGATCACGGTTTATGGCAACCCTGAGCTGAGAGCCCGCGCCTTGGCTCTGTCTCCCCCCTCCGATACCTGGGAGCTCTGCCACACTCAGGCACCCCCGGTCTTTCTGTGACCCCGAGGGTCCTGAGACCACAGTGTCCCACGAGGTTTCCTCGCCCCACTTAGCCACTGGAGCGACATCCCTCAGTGGAGCTGACTTCTAAAAGAACTACTCCTCCACCATCTTGCTCTGCTCCTAGTTTACCATTTCTTAAGTGAAGTCATTTTCTGCTAGTTCTCACTAATTTACAAATAGTAGACCCTAAAAGTTTAAGAAACATTTTTAAAATTAATAAAATTCTACCATTCCACAAACACTATTACTTGGGAAAAGGCCACCACTTTTTGTTAAGTATCTCCATTCACTTCAAAGATGTTATATAAATGTAAGAATTGGGAATTATTCACATTAATAAATAAGTCATGCCAACAAATAAGTTAATAGTCATGTTTACTGACTTTATGAAGTTATTGATACCCTTCATATTTCCAGCATTGGTTTGCAGTGGTTAGCACTTTCCTATGTTCCTAATTTGTATTTTATTGTGACTGATTCCCCTTCCTTTGTATGTAAGAAATCAGTTTGAAAAATTGTAGAAAAGCTGCATCCATGTGCAGCTTTGTAAATAATATAATAAAACTCACTCTAGGATCATCTTAAAATAATTATGTTCTAAGTTACCAAATGCTCACCCCAACTACGCTTTAAAGATGAAAGAATTGAAGGCAGGTAGAGAACAAAAAGAGGGGGGCTGCTAGAAAGAAATCGGAAAGAAGTTCATTGCCACTGTCTTTGACAAGTAGTCATAATTCACTCTTATGTTTGTATGTTAGTTCATGTGGGCCCTAGCTCTGAGAGGAACAGAAGCAGTCTGAAGCATGACATTTCTAATAAGATTTACACTCAGAGAGAGAACTGAATTCCTATTCATTGTCCTAAAGAGCAGAGAGGCAGTTCTGGTCCTATAATGCTTCCGCATGAACTATGAGCTGGGTCATGCCTCACCTCAGCTAGACCAGCCCTCACTGCAGTAAGACGCCCATAGATGGCTGCTAGAAGCCCTGCTGACATTTCTTCTTGTCTGGGAGAGGAGTATTGGTGAAAAATGTTTTCTGTATTCATTAATTTTTACATCCAAAAAATTTGTTCTAATTGGTGATTCTCTTTCTTGTATCTGTTGAGAACTAGTTATTGATGTATTTTTATTATACATAAGATTTCTATCCACACACATCAACTCTTGAATGTATTATAATCAAGAATTGAATAATCTTTGAGAATGTGATTTTTGTTGCATCTCCAATTTGCTATACTAATTCAAGCGATTAATAAATAGTGAAAAGGAGGAAACACTCCCATCTTGTGGTAATCAAAGGGAAATGCACACATGGTCCTTGATGCTCAGACTTTCCAAAAACAAAACTCCTAAATAGTAACTGATGATATCACAGTACCTCTGTTTTCCTGATAATAAAATCTACAAATAATAAAAGTAATTTCATCATGCCTCTATTTCCCACTCAGCAAAATTGAGATTAAGTGGCTTCAATAGTAGTTAATTACTAAAGTAACATTTATGGTTTGGGATCAATGAAGCTAAACCAACTACTAGGCATTTTGTTACCATTCCTCCACTACCTTTCAAGGACTTATTTCTACATTATTATACATACATACCGCAATAATGAGGCCACTAGGTCCATGTAAGTTATCAACCCAACCCTAAAAGAAAAAAAGATCTCTATTAGTTACACGTGTCAGAAAATTATAATACATCTGCAACATCTACAGTCTGATCTTTGTAAGTTTCAAACATGAGCACTGAGACCCCAGTCTAATCCAATATATCTAAGATCACAAACAAAGATCAGTGGCAAAGCACTAGATATTTCTGCACTTGTGCAAGAATGAAAATTCTGCCAGCATCTTTTTTTCCTGGGAGGAGTCATCGGGAGTTTCAGGTTGTTTTATGACATCTTAGAGGTTAAACGGAACCTTGTCTTAATATCATAACTTGCTAACCAATTCATTAACCATCACTTTTCTTCACTCGGGCCTGATTTTTACTCTCCAGGGGAACACTACATATCAAACATGATTTGTAGGAAGGATCCATTTCTTGAAAATTTGAAAAGTCATAGCATCCATATCCTATTTGTATTGGCTTGCTCAGAGATGTTCACAGGAAGAATATGTTCTGGAGCAGTTGGAGGAAAACGTCTTCTTGAGTTTGTCTACTAAGCCCTAAGCAAGTCAGTTGACCTTATTATGTCTGTTTATCTGTAAAAGTCAAAATGTATGTGTAAATAGGAGAGGAGGGAGAAAAGAGAAGATGGAGGGCTTAATATTCTACTAGGGACCAGGCACTACACTAAACACTCGTACACAGTCTCATTTGATCAGCTCTCCAAAGTGGGTCCAGTATTGGGCTAAAATAGCATTAGCCCAGTTTTACAGATGAGACTGCTCAAGAGGCTGCATTTTCAGTAAGCCCTAGAGCTAAATTTTTTTGGTCCTAAAGCTTCACAGAATTCCTTTAAAAAAGATGGTATAATTCAGTGTACTTTCAAAAGGATAGAGCAGTATACAGATGCAAAAAATTATTCCTAATCTGAGAACCTTCTGTTAACTTTGTGATTTTTATTTACCCTGATGGTTGTAATACTACCGATTTGGCCATCAAGAACATTCTGGTATATTTAAACTAAAAGTGGGGAAGTGAAGAACTAAAACTATCCCATGGGAATTTTCAGACAACGGTTAATGAGAAGCTAATTTAAGACCTCCACCCAACTCTAGGATAGGTAGTGTAACCTCCAGAGGAGCCTCATCCTGGATAAATCCTGAACCAAATGTGGAATTTTGTACTAATATAATGGGTTCGTATTTGGTATGCTGCACTCAGCTATACATTCTGAGAAGAGAGAGAGAGAGCGAAAAGGACCTCTTCGGAAAGTAACTGGGCAAGAAAGACGCTGGTTTGGAAGCAAAGCAAGGAATCCAGGCGAGTGGGCTTACCGGGAAAGGCTCCTGCCAGGTTGCTCCCACAATGGAGGGCCTTATGATGGCAATGTTTAGGTTCTCGCTCTCCTGCTGCACCACCATCTCTCCCAAGGCCTTGGTGTACGTGTAAATATTGGGCCGATCCCCGATCAGCTTGGGTGTGATCTCATCAATAATAGCATCATCTAACCACCTAAGGGTAGTCAGAGTCAAAAAGAATTCTAGTAACATATGTTAGACAATAGACAAAAAAAAAAAAAAAAAAAAAAAGAAAAACCCCAAAACACAACACAATCAAACAAGACCTTCCCTTTCTCACTTGAGTTCTGGAATCCAGAACAGTCACAAGATACCAAGGCTGAGTGGGCATCCATCCAAATCCTGCACACTGAATGAGCTCTTGGCTCAGCACAGCTACACCCAGTCTTATCACTTGAGTCCAGCTTCCTCCCACCTAGATTGATAAATTGAATAGCCATGCCATCTACTACTTTATTACACACGATCTCTAATTATCCTCAATATTTTCTCTCTAACTGGCTCACTAGTACACCCATGGGGACATTGGTGGGTGCCCGCCGTGCCCCTAGCATGCCACGTGCTTTGTTCATGGAGCTTAGAGGCTGTCACCCCATGTGCTTCGGGGGCGGCCCCACTCACCAGTGCTGTCCAATTCACACCTACTGTACCAATCTTGCAACCCTTAGCTTTTCACTTTTAAATTCCATTCTCTGCCTCAACAAATAAAAGCAACAACATTTGGCAGACTTACAATCTGTTTTAGCAAATCTATGAAATGCATTTTGGAGCTATATTTACAGTCTATGGTAATAGTTTGGTAATTATTTCCAGAGATTTCCCACAAATTCTGAAGTTCTCTAGTAGCTATTAATAGTCTGTCAAGAGTAGTGATTATAGTACTCTGAAGCAGCTTTAATAGTGATGGTTGAACACCTCTACTGACAAAAAGACATGTATCATGAGTGAGTTACCATGACATCCATCTAATCTCTTTTTTAAAGATGTCAGCACCCTTTTGATAATCCCAAAGTCTATCTGCACTTCTTGAAGAAAGCAATAAAATCATTGTCAAATATTTAATGTTTCTCTTAACTGGCAGATCTATTTGGTTAACCATTTTTTATAATATAGTTTTTTAAAAATTAGGCTACCTAAATTTGTTAGTGTGATTTTTATAATCGATGTGCTTGGTACATTTATTCCTACTTTAAAGGACTGAGCTCAGTCATACTATTTTGATTGTAGAAAAATCTTAGCTATTACCACTTTTCTCCCATGACAAATTATTGAACATTTACAATATGCTTATGCCAATACTTATTCAGAAACACAACTCTTGGGGCGCCTGGGTGGCTCAGTCATTAAGCATCTGCCTTCGGCTCAGGTCATGATCCCAGGGTCCTGAGATCGAGCCCTGCATTGGGCTCCCTGCTCCATGGGAAGCCTGCTTCTCCCTCTCCCACTCCCCCTGCTTGTGTTCCCTCTCGCTGTGTCTCTCTCTCTCAAATAAATAAATAAAAATCTTAAAAAAAAAAAAAAAAGAAAAGAAACACAACTCTCAATTTTAATAATGCTGATTTGATGTTGGAGTGGGACATGAGCACTGTCTATAATGTTTTGGTTTTCCTTGCTTTGCTGCTATTAGTGCTGAGTGTTTTCTAGATACTTTTCTAGATGTCTTTTGATTTAAATCAAATAGGGAAAGGTTGAGAAGTTCCTAGAACAAAAGCAACTCCAAATACTTAGGAAAATGGAAGATTTTCTAATTATATGGCCACCTGACATTTGGGATGAAGTGTGTGGGATAATGAAGGCACCTCTCCATTTTATGATGATGTTACCTTTCCCTCATCTTATTTGATGGTCGACAGTGATGGTCGACATCTTATTTGATGGTCAAACTGACCTAAGACCATTTTCTTTCACCTGCAAACACACACAGATTGCAGAAACTGGGTCAGGAGAAATACAGCCTGGTTTCAATAAGGCTGTAAAGAAACAAATTCTAAGAACACATCAGAACATAGGCATGCACTAAGATGATACGTCACATGGCTGGGACCAGCTGTTGTCATTGATGTTGGTGTGCATGGAAAGGGTAACACTTAGAGGCTTTACCAAGCTTGGTGAGTTAGCTTATCTTAGAAAATGTTGGTTTTAGGGCACCTGGGTGGCTCAGTCAGTTGAGCATCTGACTCTAGGTTTCAGCACAATCTCAGGGCCAGGCTCCACAGTCAGCAGGGAGTCTGCTTGAGGTTCTCTCTCTCCCTCTTCCTTTGTGCTCTTTCCCCCAGATCAGGCTCACACACTCTCTCAAAAATAAATAAATAAATAAATAAATAAATAAATAAATAAATAAATAAATATTTTTAAGAAAACGCTGGTTTCATAGATTTCTAAGAACACAACTGCAAAAGAAGTTGCAGTGCTCTGTAAATGGCTTGCCTCTACTATTCATGGCTCTGCTTGTTTTCCACTGAATTATCTTCTCGATTCCTCAGTTTTTACTGATGAAAAATGGTGATCATTATAGCTGTTCTTATTTTCAGGTTATCATGAGAACAAACAGGAATATTCACAACTACACTTAAAGCTATTTGATAGAGCAAAATGTGCCAATAAACCGAAGGCATTTTTATGTTTGGTAAAACAACCAACAGGCATGTATCTACAAAAGTAATAGTTGGTTATCTTTTCTGCTGCAGGCAAACAGCCCTGGGCCCACCTCATCCAGCCACTTCCTGGGTTCAAAGAGGACATTGGTGTAAGAAGCACACACATGCACTGCTTAAGTGATACCCTTTTGGGGACCTATAATCAGTTCATGCTTTTGTTTACCAGAGTGTGATTTGCTTCTGTTTGTTCTGTTTGTTTTAAAAACAGTAAATAAGTTGGCATGGAGAAAAGACACTCTATAAATAAAAGTACATTTCTAAAATTAAACAAATGCTCTTCGGGTTACCTGAGATGTTTTGAACCCATAGGTCCCAGGTTCTAAACTTCTACTTACATTGCTTCAAAAGAAGCAAAAAGTTAGTGAAGATTTCAGAAAGCAATGTACACACAATTTCCTGTAAATATTACTATCTTTTTCTGGGGGGGGTGTGCTAAATTTACAGAATCAACCTCCTAATATCATTAAAAATTTCATAATTTTGGTATTTACTAAATGAAACAGCAAGAGGAGTGTGTATTTTTCATCCTAGTTTTCTTAGGCAACAAGCAGGGCAAGACTAGTGGTGTATCAGGTGAAGCTTTCTACAGAGTAAGTACTGGACATTCTGCTTCATGGTCATGTTTGCTCTCTCCTTCTCTCATCTGAATTAGGTTCTTCCCTTGATTCTTGCAGGTACTTGCTCATGTGTCAGTTTCCCCATTTTATAATGAGTCCCAGAGAGCAGGGATTATGTTTCTTCTCTCCGTGTCCAATCACTTTCTGCACCTAGGCATCTGCTCCCTTATTCAGTCCGTGAGGGCTCTCCCACACCACAGTCTTGATTGGCCAGTCTGTGTTCTGAGTAATGTTTTGGGAAGTTGAGATGGTCACTGGCAGGAGAGCCCGGGTGAACTCAGGAGGAGGTGGGGTTGGAGGGAAACTGTGGGAAAGAAGGAAGGAAGGAAGAGAGGGAGGGAGGAAGGGAAGGAGGGAAGGAAGGGATGTGTTTGTAGAGAATGAAGCAAAATTGGAAGTTAAAATATCCAGTTGGCAGTGATGACAAGTGTTGAGAAGCTGGAAGTCTGTTAACTAATTTCAACATGGCAGAGTTGCCTTCAGAGTAAATTTAAACTTTTTACTGGGGAGAAGGGTAAACCTGTGTCTAGTGCTCGTCATGAACTGGCCTCTGCATTTCCCTCTAGACTTCTACTGAGCACCTATTCTGGCCTCCAATGGCCTGATAATGTAAAAATTATTCAGTCTGTCTAGGAAACAGTCTTACTCGGCTCTGACTTGTATTTAAAGCCCAATAACATTAAAAGTACACAGAATTTTCTGTTTGTCAGCAGCTTAGATGCCATCTTAAGCCTATACAATCCTGACAGTAAATCCACAAATATCAAAATGAGTGTTTTCCTTTCCCCTGGAATAGATACACTTTCTTAGTATTAACAACATGTTCATCAGCACCTGGGCAAGACTACTTTCCAACATCTGACTTCCTTTCCTATTTCTGCTGCAGCTGACTGCTGTCAGTGTTTGATCAAAAACACCTTTTCTTGGTGGAGAAGAGAAATATGGCAGAGGACTAGGGGACCCTATTCCAACCAGTCCCTGGAATTGAGCTGGATATCTACCAGAACACTCTGAACACCAACGAAATCAGCCTGAGATGTAAGAAGATAGATCTGGATCTCTACAGACAGAATATGGCAGGCGGTTGGTTTCAAGGTATGAAGCAGGGAGCCTTGATTCAGTGGGCAGATATCAGAATATAAATGGAAGGCAGAGGGAGCTGTGGCGATCCTACACCAATGGTGAGTGATAGCCCCCCGCGCTGGAGGCAGGGAAAAGACTCGCAGACTGGTAGCGGCGGGGAAAGGACTTTAGGTCAGCCCCCCTGACTAAAACCCGGACTGGGGGCAGCTGGTGGCTTTAGAAGCACAAAGGGCAGAGACGTTCCCCCGTGCCTCGACCTGGAGGCGAGGACTGGGAGTGCTGCTGAGGGGCACACAACCCAGGACACTACAGTTTATAGCAGCACAGACAGAAATGGAGATAGTGTGGTCTGGAGAGCTCACTGAAGAGCAGACTGCGATCTCTCTGCTCTAAGGCAGAGGGTTGGAAATGATCTCTTCTGCTCTGATTCTTGGAAGAGATGTGGAAAGCCACCAGAGAACAAAAGCCCCCAAAAAAACAGTTTTCACTGAGCCCATCCCTCCCCCACAGCAGGCAGGGCAACTCTGCCCAAACAGGGTTGCCTGAGTAAAAGCACCGCAGGCCCCTCCCCCAGAAGACAGGCTGGGAGAACAAGAGGCTGACAACCCTAAGGTCCCTATAAAACAGGTGCATCTTGCTTGGATTGTGGTTGATAATTTGGACTCTGTACATTCCCTCAATTATCCCTCAACAGAATGACTAGGAGGTGGAACCCCCCAAACAGGAAAAACTCAGAGACTGTGACATCTGCCACAGATTTACAAATGGATACAGATATAACCAAGATGTCGGAAATG